TCCATGGGTACGTGAAAAGGTCAGTAATTTTTGCGAAGTGCTTTTATTAGGATTTTAGAAAAATTAGCAATAAAATATAGTTTTATAATATGCGTTAAAATTTGATAAATGTGGTAAAATATGGCAATTTTTTCATGATACTTTAGAGCATGACATGAAAGCCATTTATTCGGTTAAATTTATTTATCAGTTTTGTATTTTTTACTAAATGTGTAATGATAACACCTGTAATTTTGAAGACCAGAATTTCTGTTAAACCGTTACTTTAAAGTAAAGCCTACTAGCTAAAGCCCATTGAGAGACGGTTGATCATGGAGGTTGAGAGTTCTTAATGGCAATGTGGTCAGCATTGTGCACAGGCCACCTCTACTTCCTAATTAATTTATTACTCATTTATTTGAAGCTGGGTGGTTTTCAAGCCGCTATCGGGGACTGGATCCCAGTTCTTTATTATATCAGTTATATTATATCATCGAGGCTCAAGCCGTTTTCATATAAAGAAGAACATTATCAAATGAAAAGTTTAAATACCGTATATTTTGGTCTTATTAACCAGAATTATGTTTTCTTAACCAGAAATGATTACCACACAGTATAGTAATTTTACTAGAATTTTTTCTCCTTGTGAAATAGTTACCTTTTCAATTTTTTTTTAATATCTATGAATTTTATTCGTGTGGCAATGTTAAAATTCCACTATTTTACACTATGGCACGTGTTGGGCCATTCATGTTTGAAATGACGCAAAATTTTGTATACTTTACAATTTGAAAATGAATCGATTGATATTAAATTAAATAGCAAAAAAAAAAAGAAAAAAAATACTCTACATTTTCTATATGGAATGGTCTTTGGGTAAAAGAATTTTATTAATCAGGATTAAAAATTTTTGATTCCCTATTGCAGGTTTAAAGGGATTTTAAAGCAAAAGCGGAAAAAATTTACATTAAGTGTCAAGCCTCTAAACAGCTCTTCAACGTAAACTAAATTCTTAGGGCTTTATTTCAAAGATTACATTTTAAATTGCGAAAACCTGGTCAAAATTTACCATACTGGTCAAAAATACCAACATTTAATCAATATATTCCATTTTTTACTTTGTGTTGTGTACAGTGCTCAAAAAAGTAGTGGTGAATGTGGCGAAGTGAGCAAAAAGAGTAGCTAGGATCAAGGTACCCGAACTTTCAACCACTCTACTAACTAAACAAATTGGGGGCAAATTTTCTTGGTTGCAGCTACAATTCCCTCCCCCATATTTTGAAAGCCAAAAATTCCAATCCAGGACATACAATACAGTAACACAATGAACGTATTTTCTCTAAATACACAATCAAATAAGGTATATTTATTCTGAGAAAGTAGGCTTTTGTGTTTGGTTTCATAATTTAAAATATCTTCTGCATAAGTAAATTAACATATTTAAGTTTAACACTATGAATCATTAAGATAGAATAGTTGTTCGTGATAATTCGATCATCCGTTGAAGAGTTACTTAAGTGTTTGGTAAAAGCAAAAATCTGTCCAACGCATATCATTTTCAAAACACACTACAAAAGATTAAAATTTGATGAGAATCCAGATGAACATTGTTACCTGTAAGTTTTCAACATTGTTGGTAACAATGATCTTATATAAGATGTGTTCGAAATTTTGATTTACAATGCTACGTACAGATATGGAAAAACTTTTATCTTCAAAAAATTTATCAAATTTTTAAACTAATAAAGTTTCACAATTTTCAATTTGAAAACATTATTCTTAATATTTCTAATAAAACATATTTAGTATAATTTTTTTTGTAGAGTTGCGATACGCAGTAAAAAATTTTGATTCCAACACGATAAAAAGAACTGACACTCAAGTGCAGTGTCTTTATAATCCATTTTACCGTAAAATCCATTTTTACTGTAAAAACCCTATTTACCGTAAAATTCATTTTTACCGTAAAATTTTATACCGTAATTTTTACAGTAATATTTATTTAATTACAGGGATTTACAGAGATTGCTGAAAAAATTACGATTTATCAGATTTTTTGTTCCATTAAATCTAAGAGTAAAACTAGATTTTACTGTCAAAAGTACTGGCACTCTGAGTGCGTACCGTAATTTGATCCAGAATTTTTTACAGTGTAGGCATTAAATAAATAAAACTTTAAATAAAACTTTAATTAAATTAAACAGGAAAATTTTTACAATGTAAAAAATATACATGTTTTATTTTTCCTCTTACAATAATGAATATTCATTCACTATGATAAAGTGATAATTATTAAAAGTAAACAAAAAAAAAACTCTTCTTTTATTCTTTTGTCACATTGTGAATCGTATTACAAAACCTAATATCCCATTTTATCAAAATAAGATTATATGACTCATTTTAATATCTAAGCTACTAAAGAACACGTAAAATACAATGTTTATTTTTAAGCATTTAATACTGTATTATTTCATGAGCTAATTAAATATTATCTTTATCTTATGCAATTTAACATAGTAATTTACGAAATTATTTTCATATTACATTATTATGTTTTCTAAATCCCAACTCAAGTGCAATAGGACATGTGCGGCATATATATGATGACAATGTTCATAATTAAAAAATATTTATGTGATAACAAATTTATTTTAATAAATGTTAAATTTTTTAACGTTAAGAAAAAAGGAAAAAGAGCTTTATAATTCAAAACATGAAATTTTTATCCAAGTTTCCAAGAATAAATAACAAATGATGACTTCTGGATTTAATAATAGCTCAGTGGGCCAAAAAAAAAAAGAAAAGAAAAACAGACTATGCTGAATAACTTTTGATCTATTGATCGGAGCTTCACGTTCTAGGACTCAATCTTAATGCTTTGAGAGAGTGACTTCGAATATGCTAATTAATTAGTGCAGACGATATTTTTCGTTACAAAAGCAGACACAAAAACGTACTTTCTCTGAATAAACATTCCTTTTTTCGACGGATTCGGATTTCTGACTCCCAAAATATAGGTGTACCCGCAATCTGGGAAATATGGTCCTAATAGTTTGGTCAGAAGAGTGGTTTAAAGTTGAACCCTCAATGTTAATTTTTTTTTCCTGAATAAATAGTTCCTGAGAAATCAAATTTTAGAGAAGTCGTATATTTAAAATTCGATTTCTCAGGAACTATTCAACCAATTTCGCTCAATTTTTGTATTTTGCCAAGTAAAATTGGATAATTTAAAATGATGTAAAAAATTGTATACCTAACAATTAATAAAATTTCGACTCTTATTAAAAAAAATAATAAAAAAAGTAATAAATATTTGCTGAAATTTATTTTTTGAGTGGAACTATCTTTAGATAATCGAATTTTATAACAGCTTATGTGTGATTGAAAAATTTGTGAGAGCGAATTGAAAACTTTTTGAGTGTAAAAATTTTTCAATTCTCTTGGCGAAATACGCAAAAAGTAATAGTAATATTAAGGGGTCCGAACTTTGGACCGCTCTCCTAACCAAACTATTCGGACCATATTTCCCAGATTGCTGCTACCCCCTGTAATATGGGTTATTGGCAATTATGAGTATATTGGCGATCAGAAATCCAAATCCGTCGAAGAAAGGAATGGTTATTCAGAAAAGGTGCGTTTTTGTGTATGATTTCGTAACTTAAAATATCGTCTGCACTACTTAATTAGCATATTCGAGGTCACCAGCTCGAAGCATTAAGATTTAGTTCTAGAACGTGCAGATCCGATCATTAAATCAAAGGTTATTCAGAGTGGTCTGTTTTCTTTTTTTTTCTTTTTGACTCACTATACATAAAATGTAGATTTGATTTAATGTCTAATTCGGCCAATATAGTTGATGAGGCGTAGCTGTCAACTTCTATGGTTGATGAGGAAAATTTTTCTTTGTGGTAGCAATGTTTATGTTTTTATGTAATAACTTTGATTTTCAAGGTTTAAAAAATTATTTTTAACCACCACGAAAAATCATTAATTTAAACATACGTTTATGGGATTTATTAGTTAGGGTACTTATGCCTCTAAGTTTTGGGGAGGTAGCTTAATGTTCAGAAGCGTCATCCTATTTTAATTAATATTTCACTACCACTTTGTAATATTTTTTCCAACAACCGTACAAGTTGGCAATTATGAGTACAATGGCAAGGTATGTAATAAATCCCCAGTAACATTCATAAAGGAAGAAAAGCTAGCTCATATGGCAAACATTGGAAAATAGGTAGATTTAGAACATTTGCATCTACACTGTGAAAAATTCCGAATGAAATTATAATAAAAAGTACCGGCATTCAGAGGCCGGTACTTTTTACCGTAAAATCCATTCTGACCGGTATATATATTACGGAACAAAAATCTGATATGCCATAATTTTTACAGTAATAATTACCGCAAAATCACTGAATCACTCTAATTAAACGAATATTTCTGTAACATACTGCATTATTACTGTAACATACACTCTAATTAACCGAATATTACTGGGTGTATTTTGTTTAGTTAAGGCTTTACCAGTGATTGAAACAAGATGCCTTTTTAGTCTATGTATCATTGAATATCATTTTATGCAATATCTATATGTTTGGTACGCTTGGATCTATTTATTTTAGCTAAGGCTTTACCAACAACTAAAACAAGAACACTTTTTATTCTATACATGATTTAATCATTTAAACATCATTTAACAATATCTGTTTGTAAAGTATGCTTGAATCTATTTCGCTAAAGCTTTACCAATAAATAAAACAAAAGGCCTCTTCCTCTATGCATCATTAAATTGAATGTTTGGTATGCTTGAATCAATTAGTATTGCTGAGACTTTACCAACAATTTTAACAAGATGATTTCATTCTTTGCATCATTGAATATTATTTTCATACAATATCTGTATGTTCAGTTTTATAGATTCATAGGTATTAATTGGTACTGTTGAAGTAATTAAAATAATGTCCTAATATGATGAATATGCTGTATCTAAATTCGAAATAATAAAATAAAATATTACTCACGGACATCCATGACTCCTCCAAATACTGTACTAGTGTTGCTAAACGTTGTACAGTTCCATCTACTCATTCTAAATTGGTGCTGACATTCATCAATACCCATTTTTGCTCCTCGACCAACAGTTTGTAAAATATTTGGATTCAATCCACAAAGTTCACGTTGTCTGTCTCCTAAATATTGCAATTTTCTGCAATAATTTTGATAAGTAGTTGGTTTCAATTCTAAACTGGTTTGGTAAGCGGCTGGCATTCCTAATAGCCTGGAAAGAGATATAGTTAATCAATAAGTCTCCAATTGTAAGGTGTCTTAATCATTTTGAATAATTATCAACCAATTTTATTTTAGTAAATCATATATAACTTTAAAAAACGTGAATCAAAATAAACGAGTAGAACAGCTGTTAAACTAAATTGCTCAATCATCAACACTTTCAAATGTTTAATTAGTTTTCTAAATTTAGTCTTTTATTGAAACGAAAAAGTTCCATAATTATTGTGTTTTTTTTCTTCTTGTAAATATCATATTTAGAGAGCATTTCAAAAAAAAATTATATTCCTTCTCATTAGTAGATTTATTTTCAAGAAAACGGAAAACGGAGAACGCGTGGTAAAAACTACCAGAATATGGTAAAATTCGCCGTGTATCTGGCTCTATGGGAATTTTAAAAAAGCTCAGTAATTACTGAGCTTTTTGAAGTTTGGTGATGAAGCACTTTAGTAATGAATTTGGTAAAATTAACAATAAAATATGGTTTTATAATGTATGATAAACTTTGGTATAAGTAGTAAGACAAGGTAATATTAACGTGATAGCTTGAAGCATGGCATAAAAAATGTTTATTATACTTATTTTTCAGTTTTGTATTTTTTACTAAATGTGTGGTAATAAGAACTATAATTTTGAAAAAATAGAATTTCCGTTCTACCGTAACCATATACACAGAAAAATTAGCAAATGAATAATTTAAATACCGTATATTTTAGTTCTTATTACCAGAATTATGATTTTTTTTAACCAGAAGTGATATTACGATACAGTACGATCATTTTATCGGAATTGTTTTTTCTTCATATACTCTTATTAACAACTATTACGAAAAAAGGGATTAACTTTTTTATAATAGATGCACTAACAGCATCTATTAATTAACTAACAGCATCTAAATAATTTTGCTTTTATTGAAAATCTTTAAGTATTAAATGGAGCTTATATAGACAATTTTACTCACCAAAAAGTAGATGAAAATAAGAAGGAAATATTAGCAAGTTTATAAGTATCCCTAAATCACATGGAATTCCTAAATTTGTTCGAATTACAAGCATTAATAAGGCCAATATGTCCATATGTCTAAACATATATAGTTCAAACATGGGATTTATTATTTAATTTCCTTATAAAATGCAGTATTTTACACATTTTTATTTAACCATACATTAGATATGTAAGAATTATATATAAAACAACATAAACTGGTATATACCTTCTTAGAGTATTAGAAGCGACGTCTGAAAACCTTAAATATTCTTTTAAAGTTGCTTGACAGGAATCAAATGATATAGAAATTTGTTGAAAAATGTTTCTAACTGTCAAACGAGTATCAATTTTATAACTTAATCCATACGTCGCTCATTAATTGAAGGTGGATGATCTAGAAAATTGCTCAGTGTCTTCCACGGAATCTCTATTATGCTTGAAATTTTTACACTAATCAAATATTTTTATTACATATAATCAGTCACCTTTTAAAGCTTTTTCAAAGCAAAACTTAATGCATGTTTTTGACTCATTGGCATTTGCCATTTCGGAAAATTAAGGGAATAAAAATTCTCTTATTAAAAACTAATCAGACGGTAAAATTAAATAATTATTCAGACGATAAAATTACATAATTTTTGACTGTTTGCAAACGTCGTAAAAATGGGGGAGTTTAACGACGCGGAGCTTTTGAGCTCTCTCCAAATTTACATTCCAAAATACAAAATACATTCCAAACGATCAGCTCATAGTTTTCAAGCAACGTCATTATTTTTTATTTAATAATAATTTTTCCAGTTATATTTTAAATAATTCTATCAGAAAAACAAATTACAACAAAAAAAGCAAAAATCTTAAAGAATAATAGGATCCACAATTTTTAGAAACTTAAGGAACATTCTTACTGAATCTGGTTTGGTCGTTCTGCTTAAAATGCACCAATCAAATTCTCAATTTCTATTTTATGCGAATTTTCATTTTGATGAACAAATGACAATAAAAAATACAACCAGTGCAGCATTAGAAAATATTTTGTTTTGAAATGAAAAGTTGTTTTCAAAGCATTTTAATTCAATAGAAAATCGTTTGCTTATAACGAAAAAGAAGGATAGAATGTCTCAACTCTTCTTTTTACATTAAAACTGAACTTTTGTTGTTGTTTTCAAACGATAATATTAGAACATCTTGAATCGAGCTCCAAAAACTTGAAGTCAAGGAACTGACCCAACGTTCGATAAATATTTGCAGACGATATCTTGCATAGATGAATTTTAAATGAAACATTCCAGATACGTTTTGATCACAGTATTCTTTTTTTATAAAAAAAAAGTATTTTCGAGAAAATAAATTTCAGTAACTGATGACATTACTAAAAACTAATGATTACAATGTATCATTATATCGTTATTTATGTGTTTGCCTTTTTGTTATTTACGTGTTTTTTATATGAGGAAGAAATCAAAACATTTTATCGTTTACGGATTAAAGATCTTGATTAAGATTATATTATATAATCTTCAGGCATTTATTTAGAAAAAAAATCAAGTTAATAGCTCGTGATTACTGAGTGACTACTGAACTTAGCAACTTGAAGTCAGTAAAAAAACTTTTCATCATATCCAGCAAAACGTAACTTAGTTTTCTGATAACGTCTAAAAAAAGTACAACTGGTTTTTTTTAATCTATGCGAGATCTTTCGAGTGTATAATATTTACACTTACAAATCTGTAGGAAATCAAATTGTTTTATTATTTTAAAATGGCGTGTGCTAAATACCGTTAAATTATTTATGTTTAAAAGGGTTATTGTAAAAAGAAAGACCACCAATAGTGAATTTGATTTGCATAGATTTGAAAGGAAAAAACTTGAAACAAAGTATAAAACATTAAATTTTATTAATGTCAATAAATTATAATTTGAAAGTAAACTAGTATTCTAAATATATTTCTTCGTTTTTTTTACTTTAAAAAAACTGTTTGTTTTATATTTATGTTTCTATACTTACAGTTCCTGGTCAAATTATTAAACGCACTATAAGATTCTATGTAAAATCTTAATTATCACGTGATATTATACATCATTTTTGTTTTTACACGGCTGAAACAGTTTTGCACCTGTTTATTTTCGTGTATTAATTGGTTAACATTGTAATACAATACGTTAAAAATAAATGCAAATAGGAAGCATATAAAAAATCTCCTAAATAAAAACCTATTACATGTATGTTTAAATATAAATGTATTGCATATACAAGCATGAAAAACACGTAATTATTAAAATATAACAGTATGTCCAATAATTTGGTCTAATAATTACAATATACTAATATAATACCTGATATAATAAATATTCTACATTTGTATAATATATCGTCTAATTTATCCAATCGTACATAACATAATTTCAACACAGATTATAAAACCATATTTTTTGGTTAATTTTGCCCAAATCATTACTTCGGTAAATATTAACGAAATTTATGGTTTCCCATACAAAAAGGTACATTTTATTATATTCTAGTAGTTTTGGCCAAACTTTTTTTCTCAGTGCACTACGAGGTAAAATTAAGGAAAAATAACGATAAAATAATCGTTAAAAAAATCTTAAGGTATTTATTATCACAAAAACTGAAATACAATTTGAACTATAAATTAACTACAAACTCCAGTAAAGAGCATTTCATTTCTGAAACACTTTGATTTGTAACATTCCTGGACAAGATTTAACTTGGAGTATATTACATGGTCTATGAAGTAATTTACATTCTCAGAGAAACATTATAACATTATAGAAACCCTCGATATGCAAGGAAATCATCAGGTTCATCAAATATCTTCAAAGTTTGATTAAGCTATTCATTACACGTTATACGGCTTCTTTTAAAGATGATGATACAATGTACTGCATAGTATAAGGTATCTATACTTAAAGAATATATGATTTCATATTTAAAATATATCTATACAAAGTTAATGAATATATTTTTATTCACGATATGGAGTTTATTAGAATTATAAAGAAAAACTTTATGGGTACACTGTTAGAATATATATATATATATAAAAATAATATATATTATATATATATCTTTCAAACTTTTATAGTACTCCTCACACTGGTATATTTTGCTTTGGCTACATTGATACAATATTAGAAAGCACTTGTTTTTGCGCATATAATCGTTTGAGCTGATGAAGAGATTATATGAGATTATATCTTTTCATTATTTTGTTTTCCGGCTTTTTAACATTTATTTTTTATTTTAATTATTTTTCCTCTTCTCTTTTCAATAATCTTCATTATTTTTCATGCTGTAACATATATATATATAT